TTACTATGAAACTAGCTGCTTCCTACTATTAAATAGTTATATAGGGGGCGCTCGTACATAAAATAATACTTATAAAAATACTGCTTATAGCTAGTTTATAGCTGCATATAGCCTTTTTTCTAGAGGAGCGGGGCGCCGCCTTAGCTTTGGCTGATTTTTCTAAGAAGGCGGGCGCAAGCTCCCTCTTGCACATAATGAAGATCGAGGGCTATAAAAAAAAAATATATTTTTTTTTATATAGCTCCGCCCTCGTAGAAATAGCAGCCATCATGTCTGCTAAATATCATTTGACAAATCTTTAGAGGAGGATAGCTAGAGGAAATTTTCTGCTTGCAGCTAAAGATGTGCTGTATCTTTTTTATTACTAATAGCTAAAAAAATTTAAACCTGGGGGCCACATAAACTTTTTACCACTTTAGTGTATTGCCTTATATTTGTCCCAATGTATAGTATTCCTTAGCTTGCTCATTTTCTAATTCTAGCTTTAACTTTAGCAATTTTAGGTGAAGCACTCCGAAGGGGGGGGGAAAGCCGAAAATCGCTTTAGCTTTTAGCTTATTTGCTTTAAGCTAAAGCAATATTTTAGTAGCTTGCTAGAACGAAGTCCGGCTATAAAAAAATTTATTTAGCCGCATGTTCTAGCTCTAACTTCGTTCGGACGAGAAAAAAAAATACATTTTTTCCCGTCCCGTGCAAGCTCGTACTATAAAGCTATAAAAAGTAGCTTGCGCTAACTAATGCAGGGATAGAAAAGTATACCTAGCTTATACCCAGCTACACAGAAATTAGCTAAAGTTAAAGCACTCGTAAAAATTTAGAGTACGAGTACACTTTGTTAAGGCGCGAAGCTCGAAGAGGGGGCTAACTTCCTTCGGACGAGTAAAAAATACATTTTTACCCGTCCCGTGCAAGCTAAAGCTCTTCGTTCGCGCCTAAATACAATTTTTTTTACGCCTTAAAAAAGATTATTATTATACAACATATAATAATAATAAAGCCATCATTAAAGCAAATAAGGCAGTTGCTTCTGAGAAAGCAAACCCTAATATTGAGTATGAGAATAATTGATTTTTTAAGGATGGATTTCTAGCCACTCCTATAATTAGACACCCAAACACTACACCTATACCAACTCCAGCACCTGCTAGACCAATAGTTGCTAATCCGGCTCCAATAAGTTTTGATGATTCTAACATCTAATTAATTTTATAAAAATGTAAATGTGAATGTATTGAAAAAAAAAATATCGTGTCCTTAGCTAAGTAAATTAGCTAACCATGTAATAGGGGGAGGGGAGGCTACTACTTAATATACTAGGTAGCTTCCCTCCTATTACGGTTATAGTTAGAAATTATTTCTAGCTTGCGTAAGCTAAAAATAGTAGTTTCACAAATTAATACACAAGGCTATTAGGGTGGAGGCTAATATATATAATAGTTTAACGGGTGAGCTTTAGCTTGTTAATTACTATTATTAGTAAGCTAAAGCCTTCATACTCTTTTTATAAGCGAGCTTTATAAAGGCGAGGCAAGCTCTATAACTTGCTTATTTCTATTCGTGTTTAGTATAGCTTTAAGATAACGCAGTAATAGCTTGAGCTTGCTTTAGTTTTTAGCGCGAGCCTCTGTGAAGGCTTTAGTTTGCGGATTTTTATTCGAAAAATCTGCGACGCAAGCTCGCCTTCATAGCAGAAAAATCCGCAAACTAGAAAATTAGCAAGTTAAGGGGGCGGTGTGTATGACCTTTAGCACTAACGAAGTATGCTAGAGCTTGCGCCTAAATATATTTTTTTTAGCCTTTCTAAAAAGGCGTCCGATAGGCGAAGCCTCCTGCTCTAGCGCAGCGAAAAAAAAAAAAAATACAAGGAGCTAGTGGTAGCTATAAATATTCATAGCTAGCGCAGCTGCTTAAAATAAAATACCGTGATTACAGGGACTTAGTTCGCGCAAACATATCCTATAGATACCAAGTTACTATGTAGTAACTGAATTTGCAAAGCTGAGAATAACTGTACTCCAGCACTGCATAGCTTTGCTACTAAACACATGAGTAAAAATTTTACTGCTACTTATGTTCAGTAAACATATTAATAAATTTTTTAGATTTATAAAAATAATTATTGGATTGTCTACTATCTATTTTCAAGGCATTTTTACCTAATTCAAATACAAATCCCGCAGTTATTATACCTATGAAAATTAGCACTACTATTAATCCGTAAACACCATTTTCATATACACTTATACCATATGGATATATTACTAATATTTCTAAATCTAATAAAAGATAAACTAATGCAAATATGAAGAATTTAACACCGAATTGAGTTCTATTTTGACCAAGAAAACTGTGAAAACCACATTCAAAAATACTATATTTTTCTTGGTAAGGGTTATGTGGAGCTAGTATGAAATTAAGAAGTAAAAAAACTATTGTTAAAATAGTAACAAAAACAAAAAGAAAAGTTACACTACTCATTTAATTGTTAAATAAAATTTGTACCAATATGGTACCCATGCTTAGCCATTCTTTGTTCATAAATAAAAATAATAGAATAACAAGTGTAATTATAGAAATTACAAAAGAAATAGGACTTGATATAGCTATATTTTTATAGTTAAAGTTTAATTTATTAATTATTTTTTGATTATTATCTAAAACATTACCTTTTAATACTAGATTTTCCAATAATGGATTTATTTTATATTCAGGTAAACTAAAGAACATTTCTTTTATTATACCTAAATAATAAACTCCTCCTATAACACTAGTCAATATCGCTATTAAAGATAAGAAAATAAGACCTTTATCTAAGGCTGCACTTAACACCATTTGTTTTCCAAAGAATCCTATTAAAGGTGGAACTCCTACAAATGAAAATATAGTAATAGCCAAACTTATAGCTAAGAAAGGATTTATATAAAAATAACCTTTCAATTGAGTTACTAATTGGATAGGTGAATTATTTTTGTCCATTAATTCTTCATGTTCTTTGTTTTCACTTATATAACAATATAAAGAGAACCCTATAGCTATTAATATAACAAATGCATTTAAATTACTTATAGAATATTGTGTTAAATAGAATATAAATGCTTGAGTAGATTCTACACTAGATATACCTAATGCTAAAAGTATAAACCCTACGTGAGATATAGTACTATAAGCAAATAATCTTTTAATTCTAAATTGAGTTAAACCTACCACAGTTCCTATTATTAATGAGAATAGTGAACTTATTAGTAAAATAAATGTTCAACTCATTTCTGAAAAACTACTGTTAGTATAATATACTAATTGTAATAATAATATAAATATAGAAATTTTGGCTATTATAGCTACAAATGTTGTTACTATTGTAGGTATAGCGTCATAAACGTCAGGTGATCAAAAATGGAATGGAGCTGCACTTACTTTAAATAAGAATCCTATTGTAAAAATAACTAAAGAAAGATTAATATAATAAGGTGTATATCATAAATTTGTAGAAAGATCACTTATACTAGTTATGATGTATAAACCATCTAAGTTAGTAGTACCTGAATTAGCATATAATAAACTAGTTCCTAATAAGATAAAACATGAGCTTAATCCTCCTAATAAAAAGTATATTAAACCACCTGTAGTAGATAATTCAGAATTTCTATATATAGTACTTAATATATAAAGACCATAACTTTGTAATTCTATTGCCAGGAAAATAGATACTAAATCATTAGTAGACATTAATAATACAGCACCTGTAATTACAAATAATATAATTAAAGGATATTCAATAATTTTAAAATGTTCTCCCATTTTATTTATTATTTTTGTGTTATAATAAATAAATTTATATAACAATAAATCTTTTAAAGAAGAATATTCTGATACTCATACTTTTCTAGGATAAAAACTAGTTAATTGTAATATTAATATACTAACTAAAAATATAAAAATATGGAATATTTGTGTGATATTTGACATAAGTAATAAACCACCGTGTAAACCTACTCCTTTAGTTATAACAGCTAAAGAAGACATATCATGTAAAATACAATAAATTAATATTAATATCGATATTCTATTAAATAGTATCGATAAATCTCGTCTTATATTGACGGCGTTTGAAAGTAAAACTAGTACTATTGATAATATGATCATTTTTTTTTTTTTATGCGCTTAGCTAGTCCGCCCGACTATTATTAAAGGCCAACTAATATAAGGAGGCGAGCCTTAGGAGAAAATCGAATTCTCATTACTAATGTATGAAATTAGAGTTTTAACCATTTAAACTACTTAGGCTTTTTAATCGTGCTATAGGGCTATAAAGCTAGCTATTACTGCACCTACTAGTCCTCTAACAAAGTGTACTCCTCGCGCTAGCTAAAGCTAGCGCAACACACAAGGAATAGTAGAAGGAATTAGAAGATTTGTGCGAAGCCCTCCGAATGGCGCGAACCTGTCTACCTTCCTATAACTATTTATTCGTATTATTTTGTGCTACTTAGCTAAAGCTATTGCAAGCAATAGAAGGGTGCTTTGTATAACTCGCCATCCCTGGAATAAAGCTAAAGCTGAGGACTAATCCTAGTTATTGCTTTTTTATTATGGGCTACGAAGTATGCTTACGCCGAAATAGACCCAGCTAGCTTTAGCTTGCGGATTTATCGTGCTTAGTGCTCCAGGTGCGCTACGAAGTATGCATAGCTTGCCCCAGCCTAAAAAATATATATTTTTTTTTAGCCCTCCTCGGTGAGCCGCCGCCGAAAAATAAGAGCTCGAGCTTGCTAACAAAGAGTAAAAAAAAAATGTTTTTTTTTTTTCGAGCTTCACGCCCTAACAAAGAGAGCTTGCGCCTTCATAGCCTTAATTTTTTTAGGGCTTGCTATGAGAGCTTGCAGATTTACGTATTTTCGGTGAAAATCTGCAAGCTCTCGAAGTCCCTATAGCGAACTTTAGCTTGCTTTAGTTTGCTTACGTAAGCAAAAGCCGTACCATAGTATATACAGCACTCCTTGGGTAAACACTCGGGATCGAACCGAGAACAAGTTACACCACAAATAACCACTCTACCTATTGAGTTATGTCTACCTTAATAAATCTAGCTTTAGTTGCTTTAATTTTAGCTTGTGGTTATACCTAAATAAGTGTGTTACTATAGCATAGGGTCAGCTAATTGGCTATGATTAGCCTAATTTAATAGAAGCAGCTTAGCTTCCTTTAAGGCGTAAAAAAAATTGTATTTTTTTTCGAGCTTGCTGGAGGGCTATGAAGGAGCAAGCTCGTGCTAAAGCTCTCGCTATAAAAAAAAATATATTTTTTTTTTTATAAAGCTATGCATACTCCCTAGGGAATAGAAATACAGCTAGTGTTGTATTATAATTATCCTGCGGTGATTCGAACACCGACTCTAAATACCAAAAATTTATGATCTACCCATTAATCGACAGGATATTACGTGCGTGTCTACGAACGATCCAGCACACGCACGGACAATCTAATCTATATGTAAGTATATTACATAGGCATTATCATGTCTGATGTAAGCCAAGCCTTAATTAGACTAGTTTATAATTTTCCACCTGACGAGCTAGAGCTTGCGCCTAAATATATTTTTTTTTTATAGCCCTCGTCTGGTGATAAGGCAATCCAAGCCCGTTAATTTTTCTAGCCACTCGCTTATTTTACACCATTTCATTTTCATAAGAAAGCTAGAGCATGCATGCACCTTAAATGTTGCATTATTTTTAATCTAGGACATTAAGGATGCTCTAGCTACAACTCGAAATATTAATGCCTTAATATTTCTATTAGTCTAATGTTTTCACCCCTCCATCCAAAGTTTGCTACTATTATATATTGTGGGGCGTATAACTTCATTCGCAGAGCCATTCCACTGTAGTATTTTTTTTTTACCTCCTCCAATATACTATGATCTAAGAATATCCCTTTAATAACTTTATAAACTAAAGAATCATTAGTCTACAGGCAAGAGGACTTGAACCTCTATGGTAATAATACCCGTCGCACCTAAAACGACTTCGTCTTCCATTCCGACATGCCTGCTTTTTTTTTTAGTACTAGCTAACAGCATTCCTGCTCTCTTCATAGGTATAGCTTGCTGTGTATACTTATATTATTATAGCTAGTTATATATTGCTTCTAGTAGGCTTTAGGTTAGCACGAAGAGCAGCTTCGCCTAACGAAGAGGGA